AAAAAAAAAGATCAGAAAGCTATTGTTATAAGATAAATGAGCATATCGATAAGATCGTCGTATGCAATATAACACAAAGGAAATCTGTCTTTAGAAGGAAAAAACCGAAATGCCATAAGAGATAACGAGATAACATTTAGGCAGAAAAGAATGAAAAAGAGGGCATAAAAAGGCACAAAACCCTCCCAATAATTGAAAAAAGAATGAAGTTTGTAAACAAATAATGAATAACTGTTAATATATGCTGTATCTAAACACCATGACTGCTAGGATTCTTTCTATGAGTCAAGAACGAAATAAGATATCATGTAAATTTTCGTCCAAGAGCTAAACATTTTTCGTCTAAACCATCTTGACTGCAAGAGAATCAGAAACCCAGACAAACTAAAGGGCATCTTTGTGAAAAATTCTAGTCAAAGAACAAAAAAGTATTGTACATTTCCACTTCAAGAAGAAATCAATCACTGAAATGAAGAAACTAAGAAGACAATAAATGCGATTTAGAAATCGTACCATATAAAAAATTCTGTGATTTAAAACCAATGACAAATCGCCTGCGATTTAGAATTAATTTTAGATACAGTGAATGTGAGCGGTTTGTGACTGTGATTCGAAGGAAATTAGTTGAATTTTACGGAAATGTGTTAAGTTGATGAGGTCAAAAATTAGAGAAGAGCTAGTGTTTTGCTAGGCATCACATTAAAGCATAATTTGCTCCACGGCATCGAAGCATCTTTCAACATACAACATTGTCATCTAGATTGTGAAGAAAGCAAGAGCGAGTATCCCTGGAGTCTGAGGTGAGTAAATCATTTTTGGCTATTTCCATGGATTTTTGAACTTCTAAGTTAGCTGCTTTTTCGCTCTCGCCTAAATAAATGATGATGAAAAGAGAAGATACGCAACAAAACCAAATCATGAAGTAACATATCTTGTGATCTAAAAATCTCTACGACTTATTAACATTAGAATAAGGAGAGTATAACTTACTCCCACAAGAGCCTCAGTGTTAGGTGGGAGATGTAGTGCCACTTCTGGTAACAAACTCTTAGACGCACATTGGGCAAAGCGAGATCGAAGATCGTAGATTGATGTAGGGGCATCCGATGTTGCTGACATTTCAATGCGAGCTCCTTGTGAAGGATACGGTCGGAGCCGAGCCCTAAACAAAGCCTTTACTTCTTGTGAAGATGACATAGTGCTGGAAGTAAGATTGACGCGTACCCAGTGGTCAATCTACGCAATGACGAAGAACCTTTACTTGATGGGGTTACTCCTTTCATGGTACCTTTGCCAGATGCAACAACCACTCGAGATATCTGCAATTTCCAGTTGAATGTGTGAGGCAACAAAACGCACTTTCCAAGATAGACTTTTGACTTTTGGTTTACACATTTTTGTTATTTTTCAGCATTTTCGCCTCATTGAGTTTGAGGCTTCTTATCCAAGATAGTGTAAATCACACTGATCAGAACACAGAGATGGCCAAATTCTTAACGTCATTTTGCCCAGCAACTCCAACAAGAAGGTTCTTTCATACTATTGAAAGTTTTCCTGAAAAGCACAAGTTCTTTTCTTCAAGACTGAAATAAATTTCATCCTTATCCCCTATACATTAGTAACTACTGTGATTTTCCGATTTTCTTGCCACTGTAGCACTCATAACCAAAATTAGATTTAATCAATAAAACAACAATCATGCTATGAGGCACAAAGTAAAATGAGCTCTTCTTTTTCAGATATCAAAAAACGTTCAAAAACAGTTTACAACATGCAGAATACTGCGGCGTGCTTAGAAATAAAAGACATGGCAAGTGAGCAAAAAGAAGTACAGCGCTACCCACTTTTCATGCAGAAAGAAGGTAGCAAGCAAAAAGGCGCAACAAGATAATCAAAATAATTTTTGTACAGTGAAGAAAAGGCTGTGGCAACAGCGACTATCGTATAATACATGACATTTGATGACACAAGCCTGAGTTACAAATAGACTATATCGAAGGAACGATAAAAAGTCATATATAAATTGAGGTGAAGCTTGAAATCAAGGACAACAGATACAAATTTCCAACAAGAAGATACGCATCAAACAAAACATGCAACAACAAGTCACAATGTGTGACCGTCCTTCTAAGTACTAAAAACAACTAATGTACTTTGAGACAATGATACTTGAGATACAAAATTTGGTTATTAAAAGAAAGTTCAACAAGTGTTCTCCTAATCTGCTAAAACAGGATAAGGCGCCCCTTCAACTTCAAAACAAGCTCAAAGGTAAACTAACATATAGAATTTAAGGCTATTTGCTTCGTAGCTGTAAAAAAGAAATTCAAATTCCACTCCCAACTATAATATAGGTCGCAGGTTAAGAGTTAAGCTTTCAAAAATTTTCTCTTCAAAGTAAATGCGTTCATGATATAAGTCAGCAAATGATAAGTAAGCAAATTTTGGATTTTGTAAGCATCAAATTCATTACCAGAAAAGCGGGCTCTCAACCAGCTATATCCTGTTCAGTTTGAATCATAACATTTGCCAACAGTTTCCATTGACATTTCAGAAAACGTCTGCTCAAACAGAATGAGAATAAGCATAATGTCAGGTTCTGGATTAATCTTTAAAAACGACGTATGACTGGCGTCAGCGTTGGTGTGGTGGCGAACTGGAACAATCCCGTGTACGAATGACCGCGATGACGATCGTTCACAGGCAGTCGCTGAAACACACCAACACCAGATTCACGCCACAATAAAAAAACATACTGGCTGATAGACACCAATAATTTAAATGCAGAGTAAACCACTCCCAAAGAAAGTTTTACCATTCTCATAGTCGATGTCATCTAATATAATGAATTATCAAGATGTTTCATTTGCTGAATCACTAAGATTTGGGTTTTATAATGATCAACAGGCCCAATGCGGCATCAGACAGTGAGATATATTTTATCGCTCTAAATTTGGAGGAGAACCTAAACTTGCTACTTCTACTTAGCAAAATA